TAGTTTGCTCATCATCTTCCGTGACATTGGCTCGTATCATTGCAATCTCCATGTCCTTGTAGTACTCTTCAACGCTCTTGGTTCCTTGCTTGAGTAGTTGGAGTTTCTTGAAGAGGTCGCTGTTGTAGTAGGTAGGCATGAAGCGTGCTCTCATAACATCCTTCATTTGTGCGCAAGTAGTGATGAGTGGTTCATCTTTTGCCTCTCGGCGCTCATTGACTTATTCCCACCAAATGAGGACATAGTCTTGGAACTCAAGGGATGCCATCGCGATCTTCTCTTCTTCATAGTTGTGCAAGCGGAATATTTTGTCGACCTTCAATGCCCATGAAAGGTACTCTTCGGGATCATTGCTTCCATTGAACTTGGGCATGGTGAACTAAAGCTTGCCATAGCGTTGCTCTTCATTGTGTTCGGGTCGGGGATGATGACGTCCTTGACGAGGAGGATCGTCTCTCCCAACTTGCTCTTGCCGTGGAGGATTTCCATTGTCTTCTTGCTCTTGTTGAACTTGATGTTCTTGGCGAGCTTGTGGAGGAACTTGTCGAGCTTGACGATGCACACGAGCTTGATATATTCGTTCGTGAACTTCTTCGCGAAGCGCTTCTTCATGTTCACGAGCTTGTCGGCCTCAGTTGGCTACGACTCAACTTGATTCTCGGAGGGCTTGTTGCGCCTCAAGTGCTTGAGCTTCTCGCAATTGTTGCTCTTGACGTTGTGCCTCGACATCTTGTGCTTCTTGGTGTAGACATCGCTCTTCCTCTTCGTGTTGGCGTTGCCGTTGCCGTTCTCGTGCTTGCGCAAAGGTAGCTTGGTTTTGACGATGTCGTTGTTCTTGAGAGTTGTTGTCGTGTAGAGGGTTGCGGTTGGCTTGACGTTCTTGGCGCGCGACACGACAAAGAGTGTTCGATGTCGGTGTACTTGAGCCGGAGATGGTGTAGTCGGAGTGTCGACTTGAGCGGCTCCGTCTTGATGAGGACGAAGTGGAAGAAGAGCGGTTGAGCAACAAAGCACGAATCTCGGTCATTCTTGCATCGTTCTCTTGCTTGTGGTCGTCGAGCTTGTGGTCGAAGTAATCTCTTGTGCGTTGCTCGGAGAGTCGCAAGTCGGTGGCGAGGTTGTCGATGCGTTCACTCATTGCTTGTTGCTCTTGATGCAAAGCACGTCGTGCACCAAAGAGTTGGCTCTTTGTGACGTAGGAGTTCATGTCGTTGTCTTGTCCGATGAAGAGTGGGTTGGTAGAAGTACTTGACCTATCCATCATTCCAAGGGAAATATGTGAGTGGTAGAAAGAGAAGAACTTATACCAAATGTACCTTGACCGATGTTGAAGGTGGATCAAAGATCACTCCAATGTGGAACAAGGAAATAGCACAATTGGTACCAATTCTTGTCGGTTTCTCACACCTACACAAGTAAAAGCTTATGGTGGAGCTTGGTTAGGATGGTGGCACAAAATTTGATGCAATTGTTAGTGAGCTTCAATAATATTGGAAAAGATTCGCAAGGTTGCAATGCAAGAAGTAGATCAAGCAAAATAAGGTACACGGAAACACACATGCAAAGAGATGAAATGGGGTCGTGCAACCAAGGATGAGCCAAAATGTGGAATCCACGAAAATGCTCTTGTTGCACAACACTAGAGAGACGCTAGCACGATTGCACAATAGGCGGATACGAAGACTTGTGCACAGCCTATTAAGCAAAAATGCAACGACTTCTATCCCAAGTATGCTCTATGTATGGTATTCCGATGATATGATCCAAGATGATCTAGTATGACAATCTTAATGTTGTATGATGTTATGGTTCTTGCTTAAAAGCTCTTTGCTTATCTTTCCCTTTTGCTTAAAAGCTTGTTTGGCTCTTTGTGTTTGAGCTCTTTTCTCATGCAATGCTTCACGAACCAAGATAGCAATTGAGTATGCGATGACACTTGGTGACACAAGAGTTAATGTGCACAAGTCACGTTGCCGGCAATACTCAAAGGCTAGTCTCGATGGGTAAGCGACGCAAAAGGTAAGGCTATGATGGCTATCAATGGAATGGCAAGAATGATGTATCACTATACCAAGATGAGTTTACCGCTTCTTGCTTACGGTATGGTGTCAAAATGGTGGAGTGGTTATTGTCGATGACGCGTCCGTGGCGAAGATGAGCGGCGGTGATGTTGATGTCGAACCGTACCTAAATAGCCGAAACACAATAGGACACGGAACTGCAACTCAAATTCTCAAAGCACAATGTGGCAAAAACGTATCGAAGTGCGAAACGAGTAAGCAATGGTGGTTGTGGAAAATGGTGGTGGTATGGGGATGTGTATGCGAAAGTGGGGCGGTTGAGGGAGTCCTGGACTAAGGGGTCCTCGGGTGTCCGGCCTGTTAGCCATGGGCCGGACTGATGGGCTGTGAAGATGCGAAGACCAAAGACTGTACCCGTGCCCGGATGGGATTCTCCTTGGCGTGAAAGGCAAGCTTGGCGACCGGATATTGTAACCGACCTTGTGTAACCCTAGATCCTCCCGGTGTCTATATAAACCGGAGGACTTAGTCTTGAGGGAGAATTCATTATCATAGCCATACCAGCTAGACCTCTAGGGTTTAGCCATTACGATTTCGAGGTAGATCAACTCTTGTAATACTCATATTCATCAATATCAATCAAGCAAGACGTAGGGTATTACCTCCATAGAGAGGGCCCGAACCTGGGTAAACATCGTGTCCCTTGTCTCCTGTTACCATCGACCTTAGACGCACAGTTCGGGATCCCCTACCCGAG